GGAGGTTGTAGCGAGGTGGGTGTTGGTCTCTTCTCCCAGGTAAGAAGTGATAGAACGAGAGGAAATTAACTCAAGTTGCATCAGGGAAGGTTTAGATTGGATATCAGGAAAAATTTCGTCACCCAGAGGGTTGTCCAGCACTGGAACAGACTGCCCAGGGAAGTGGTTGAGTTACTATCCCTGGAGGTATTTAAAAGATGTGGTGTTTAGGGACACCGTTTAGTGGTGGGCTTGGCAGTGGTAGGTTAATGGTTGGACTCGATGATCTTTAGAGTCTTTCCCAGTCTAGACAATTCTGTGATTCTATGGTTGTCCTTGCATCAAAATGTAGCGTTGCTTGCAGGAGGTGCTGCAGCTGATGGATGCTCTCCTAGAGTTCTAATGATGCTATGGCTGAGATGTTGGGATGTCCTCAGGGGTCAGCCCCTGGCACCCCACTGACCTCCAGGAACAAGAGGCAGCTGCTGGGCTGGGGGCTGTGGCAAGGAGCCCCCAGCGTGGTGACCCTTGTCCATCCCAGGCAGCCACCTCCAGCCCGAAGGCAACCAGCCCCATGGTGACAGCGCCGGCACTGCCCCATCCCTGAGCACACCTGCTCAGCACCGAAACCTTGTTCCCCAAATGTGCATGGGCGTGTTGGCATCTCTGCTGCGGTCGGGGGCCAGACTGGTGGTACCCCCCTCGAGCCAGCCCCGGGGTGCCCTCCCGCACCCCGCGCCAGAGGCAAGATGGGCTCTTCTCCCTAATTCTTCTTGATCCCTACTAATGTACCAGCAGATGTTCTCATTATCCATTTAAACATATAATCCTCCCCCAAATCCCACTAAGCTCCTGGCCTCCCCCATACCTCGTGGCAGTGCGTTCCACAGGTTAATTATGCATTTTTAATTAATCACCGAGCAGAGAGTGACCCATGAATAAGGGATGCCAAGCTCCAGCAGCTGGGAATAGTCGGGAAGCCGTCCCCAGGCGGGACCGCGCTCTCCCTGAATAGCAACACCATCTTTAAAAATCCCTGGTTCGTGGATCTGCCCTGAGCAGAGGGTGGGAGGGAGCCATGCCTGTGTGGACGCGACTCCCCGCGCCCCGTGAGCGGTGACGTCCCGCACCAAATGGGGAGGAACCGCATCCCCGATGGAGCTGTCTGGGTCCCACCTGGGAGTGATGGACCAGGCGCAGGGGGGAGGAGGAGCGAGGCAGAGAGGGAAAAAAATCACATGTTGTTTTTAAAAGGCATTTTTGAGTGAACGCTGAATAGGGTTTGGGAAAATTACCTTAAAGGCCTGTTCTCTGCAGGGACGGAGCTTTTCATGGAGCACGAGTATTTTGAAACTTAATTGCACATTTGCACGGGCTAGTGTTTTTATTTCTCTCAGGTCTCTGAGGTGGTCTTTGAAGATTGCTGTCTCTCTGTAATGGTTTTCTTTATCTCAAATAAATTCCGCACACCTGCAAGGTGGAGCTGCTTGAGAGAAATGATGTCGAAATTGGCTCTCGATTTAATAAATCTGCAAATGGAGCTGGGATGCAGAGAGGCGAGGTGGCTGGTGGGGCCGGCTGCGCCTCCTCCCCGCTCCCCGCCTCTCCTCTCTGTTCCCCTCTCCTGCCCTCTCCATCAGCTCGTTTTCAGCCTCTCTGCGGGCCAGGGCAAGGACAGGGCTGAGCGATCAGGGTCTAGATGCTGCCTTTACCCCCGGCAGCCGCTGCTGGCATGTCCGAGGGGCCTCCAGCCCAACTCCCTGCAGTGCAGACCCCTCTAACGCCAACCCAGCTGCGTGTCGCCCCGGCACAAACCCATCCGTGCTTCCAAAAGCTGCTGTCGAGCGAGCATTTAGAGCCCTGCCATGCGCCGCGAGCGTGCCGTTCTGCTTGGCTGTGCCGGCCGGAGACAATGCTACAAGCCGAATGCCAACTATCCCAAGGAGCTTCCAATGCCATTTTCTATCCCGGCCTCAGGTTTGGAGTTCGGAGCTGTGGCTTGCTCCCGGAGCCC